CAAGAGGAAAAAAACCCCACCCAAAAAAAAAAAAAAGAAAGCTTACGAACGGTGAGGGCAAAAAGCTAGCCACTGCTCAGGAGCTCCAGAAGAGCGAGAGCTTGGGAAGAGACTGCTCTTGAGGCTGCGGCCAGTTTTTGCAATGAGGCCAACTTTCTGAACTCTCGGGTTTTCTTTTCCTCCTACCTGGGGCATCTTTTCAGGCTCCACAACTGTCCTCGGGTCTGGGCTGTACTGAAATGCGCTCAAAACAAACACTTGCACAAAACCTGAAAAAACAAAAACCCAGAGTATGTTATACACTATGGTCTCCAGACAGCTCTGCAGAGGCCAGACGCCCACAGCTGGAGGGCTGAGCGGGACTCGGAAAGCCAGACTGGTGGCCCTGCCCCCGGGGAGCCCCCATGGTCACTGCACCCCTGACCCCGGCACACAGTGCTCATCAGACCAACCACCCAGCCATCACGCAGCCAGGCTTCTCTTCCCGTCATCCTGAAAGAGACGTTCTGAGCATGACAGTGGACCTAACACTTCTCTCTTGAGGAATGTTGTTGCTATAAAGCCCGTACATTCGCCAGAGAGAGAGAGAGAGAGACAGAATTCAAGAGATCTCCCCCCCAGGGAGCATGGCCACGCCACAACCCCCTTCTCCATTCTCCTCCTGGGGTCTTGAGCATGCACGCACCTATACCTGGTTTGAGTTTCAAGCCGCCAGGTCCAGAACTCAAACCACAGTCGGCCATGTGGGAGCCCAGCAATGTTAACTGCTATGCCATCTGCTAACCCGAGGTTATTCTCTTAAACAAAAAGGTGGTTCCAGAGGATGTCTTATGGACAGTCTCTCCAGCCACGCTGCAAAGCTGGAAGCGGAGGAATTACAGCATTCCAAAGGATGAAGCAGGAGACGGATTCATACTTTTTTGGGTTTTTGCTGTAGGGTACGTGCACTCACCGAAGAGAGACAGAGGGAGAGGAAGAAACCTCCCCTGGGGGATGGCCGTGTTGCAATACCTCCCCTCTCTGGATATCAGGCACAAGCACATGTACCTAACATGTGTTTCAAGCCACTGAGGCCAGAACTCGAACCACGGTTGGCCCTGTGGGAATCCAGAGCCTTAAGCAGCATGCCACCTCCTGGCCCCATACCTTCTTAAAATACTGGGACCAGCAGCTGGCGTATCGGTTACATTACTGGATTCCCATGTGGTCGACCACAGTTTGAGTCCCGGACCCAGCAGCTTCAAACTCACGACAGGTCCATGTGCGGATGTGCCCAAAATCCCAAGGGGAGAATGAAGAAGGGACTGCAGTGTAGCCAACCCCTTGGGGGCTGATTTCTCATTTTCTGTCTCCCTCTGTCTTTCGGGCAAGCACATGTGCCCACAACAAAAATCTCTCAAAAAAAAAAAAGAGAATCGGGGGACCCGCAGATAGCGTAATGGTTATGTCATTGGATTCCCAAAAAAAAAAAGAGAATCGGGGGACCAGCAGATAGCGTAATGGTTATGTCATTGGATTCCCACATAGTTGGCTGTGGTTTGAGTACCGGACCTGGTGGCTTAAAACTCAAACCAGGCACACGTGCATGCGTGCCTAAAATCCCAAGGAGAATGGAGAAGGGACTGTGGTGTGGCCATCCCCTCAGGGGGTGATCTCTCACTGTCTCTGTCTCTCCAGCTAGTGCACATACCCTATAGCAAAAACCTCTTAAGTATGTATGTAGGTATCTATATGTACATGCACACATACGTACACACTAGAATCTGAAGATTGAAATTAAAATATTTTCTCTGCAGGGTCAACAGGTGGCATGGTGGTTAAGGTGCTGGACTCCCACATGGTGGACTGTGGTTTGAGTCCCAGACCTGGCAGCTTGCTTTCTCTCTCCCTCTCTCTCTCTATGTCTCTCTGTGGTCAAGCAGAAATAAATATACAAGCAAACTTAAATAAAAAATAATTCTTTAAAAAACAAGTTTCCCTGCAATCTTTAAGTTAAACTTAACGTATCTGAGGACAGATCACTCATGTCCCCAAAGGTTAGGACAGAGGACTGTGTCCTTTGCACAGGGTCACTCATCATCTGCCCGCGTGGGGTGCTGTGCTGCCTGTCACTGTCAGCCCTCAGGGTGGCGATGCACGAGCGAACAGCAGGTCAAGGCACTGACAGTCTCCCCACTACCCTGCCGGGGCAACTGCTCTACTCCCAGATCTCCACAGCAGAAGGCACCCCGGCCCACCTCCTGTCGCGGACGTACCAGCAAGAACAGCCCCGGCGATGTCGGCGTACGGGCAGGACGCGTCCACCTGCTCACACAGAAGGCCCAGCTTCCTGCAGAGCCACGCCACCAAGGCCCGGGAGTCGGGATGGCTGGGGAGACGCAGATGCACAGCTCCACAGACCAGTCTCCGCAGGCGGGGTCCCCAACACTCTCACTAGCAAGTGGGCCAGTGAGGGCACGCAGCAACGGCTGGGCCTTTGTGCCACCGAGGCCACAGGCAGGCCAGGGAAGGGGCACCCACCCAGCTGCGGCTGATAAAAAGACAATCGTTCTCAGCAGTGTCTGGGGACAGCTGGCCATTGTGAGGGAAAGCAAAGTTCAGTGACAGGGTCAGTGGGTGGCGCAATGGTTAAGGAGCTGGATCCCCACATGACTGTCCAAGGTTCAAGTCCCAGACTCGGCAGCTTAAAAGTCACAGCAGATAAATAAATAAATATTTAAGATGATAATAATAATAATAATAATGGTAACTAGTGACCTACTGACAAAGACAGACAGACGGTGGCAGATATGGCCTTCACTGAGGGCACCAGCCAGCCATGTGATACCCGGGTGCCCTCAAGAGCTCAGATGTGAGAACGCCCGGGAGGGGAGCTCTCGGTTGCCAGACCCGCACGTCCCTGGTGACCAGTACATCTGCACGTTTAATTCCACTTGTTGTTATATTTTTTTCATTTGACCAAAGAGAGGCAGAGAGAGAGAAAGGGAAAAAACAGGCTGATGGGCCTGGGAGTCAAACTGCGGTTGGCCACGTGGAAATCCAGCACCTTTAACCACCATGTCACCTGCCAGCCCCTCCCTCTACTTTTAAAAACATTGTAGGGCCTGGCAGGTGGCACGGTGGTTAAGGTGCTAGGTTCCCACATGGCTGACCACAGTTCGAGTCCCAGATCTGTAGGCTTGCTTTCCTTCTTTCCCTTTCTCTCTCTCATCAAAATAAGTAAATAAATTATGGGAACCAGCAGTTAGTGTAATGGCTGTGTCGCTGGACTCCCACGTAGTCAGCCGCGGTTCGTGTCCTGGACCCGGTGGCTTAAAGCTCATGCTGGGCGCGTGTGCGTGCGTGCCCAAGATCCCGAGAGGAGAATGGAGGAGAAGGGATTGCGGCGTGGCCATCCCCCCTGGGGGGTGATTTCTCACTTTCTGTCTCTCTCTGTCTGTCTGGCGAGCGCATGTGCCCTATAGTGAAAAAAACCTCTCAAAAAAAAAAAAAGAAATAAAAGAAATAAATGATGATGATGATGATGATAAGTGAAGTAAAATAATTCTTTAAGAAAATAGTAACAGTAGGGAACAGCAGCTGGTGGAATGGCTACGTCGCTAGGCTCCCATGTAGTCGACCACGGTTCAAGTCCGGACCCAGTGGCTTAAACTCACGCCAGATGCATGTGCGTGTGTACCCAAGATCCCGAGAGGAGAATGGAGAAGGGGCTGTGGTGCGGCCATCCCCCCTGGGTGGTGATTTCTCACTTTCTGTCTCTCTGTCTCTTTCTGGCAAGCGCATGCACTCTATAGCAAAAAAAAAAAAAATACCTCCCTTCCCCCCAAAAATAGTAATAATAATAAATAAAATAAAATAAATCTTTTAAAAAAAACATAGGGGCCAGCAGGTGGCGTGGTAGTTAAGGGAGATGGACTCCCGCATGGCCGACTATAGTTCGAGTCCTGGACCTGGCAGCTTGTTTTCTCACCTTCTCTTGCTCTGTCCCTGTCAGTCAAGTTCAAATAAATAACTAAAGCTAAATAAAATAATTCTTTAAAAAAATTCTGACAAGCTATATCTTACACACACAAATGTGCACAAGAACTTCAACTAGAACACATGCTCTCTCTCGATGAAAAGCAATGGCATCTGCGGTGATTTTTCGCTCTGAAATGTCAGTAATTTATAATGGACCGTAATGCTCTACCTTTCCAGCAGCTCCTGAAGGCTCACGACACTCTCTGCATGAAGACGCCACAGGGCCTCGAGCACCAGGCAGTCCTGGGGGAGCAGGCACCGCTGAGTCCGCACGCACGTGTCCTCTCTGGCGTCCACCCTAGGTCCGTCTTTATTTTGGCTGCAGGGCACGTGCGCTGGCGCTGGCCACCCAGTCCCTTCTCCTCCAGTCTCCTCTTGGTTATTTGGCAACACACGCACATGTGCCTGGCGTGTCTCTCAGGCCACCAGGTCTGAGACTCCAACCTCGAAGCCGGCCATGTGGGATCCAGCTGCCTGCACCTCCACACTGGCTGGCCCGGCCTCGGCTCTCAGATCTACCGGACAGCAACGCCCAAGCTGCACGCCGACAGCCTCACTGCTGCTGTCCTTCGTTAGCCCCGCCACTGCCCGCGTCTCCAGCGCTCCTCCACGGGGGCTGCCACTAAACTCCAGAGCACACACCACACACGCCGGCCTCGGAGGCTCCACAGCTTTCAGCGCGAAATTCAGTCTCTGGCCATGGCACTGGGCCCTCGGAGATGTGACTTCTCACTGGAGACTCTTCCGTGGCCACCGTTCTTCCCTCAGAGTGGACACGGCACCGTCACTTTGCTCAAGGCACACTGACTCAGCTCCTGCCAATGACTACGCCCTCCCCTCTCCATCCAGCCAGCTCACACCCTCCTCCACGCTCCATGCAGCTCCCAGTCTTCTAGGAAGTCCGTCCACTGCACTCAGATGGGTACAGCACCTCTGTGAATCTGGGGACACCCAGCTCCTCGCCACCCAGGCACAAGCTGCGCTCTTCCCCAGCCACACGGAGCTGAGCACAGGGACCACGGCACCCCGACAGGTGGAACGCAGCTGCAACTAACGGACAGCAGAGGGCGTGACGGGCGGACGAGGTGATGACTCAGCGCCGTCAAGTGGCCACTCGGCTCTCCTCAGACCTGCAAGGCTACTGAGTTCACGTGCTTCAAGAAAAGAACACGCGAGATGAGCCAGTTCTGTGGCCTACTGGTTAAGGGAGCTGGGTCCCACATGGCCAATTGCATGGTTCAAATCCTGGCCTTGGAAGCTCGATAAAACACACAAGGCACGGGCGCGTGCCCCATATCCCACAGGGTGGCAAGGCAGGGAAAAGGAGTTGTGGCACGACCTTGTCCTACAGGCTACATGGCCTCTCCCTCACTCGCTCTCTGGCGAGCACACATGGCCTCTGACAATATAAAAAAGCAAAGCGGATGAGACCGGCAGGTACACGGTAGGTAAGGGCGCTGAACTCCCACATGGCCGACCACAGTTTGAGTCCCGGACCTGGTGGCCTGCTTTCTTTCTTTCTCTCTCTGTCCCTCTCTGGTCAAATTTAAAAAGTAAATAAATAAGGGACCACCAGCAGTTGGCATAATGGCTATGTCGCTGGACTCCCATGTAGCCGACGATGGTGCAAGGCCCAGACCCAGTGGCTTAAACTCACACCAGGCGCGTGTGCGTGCGCACCCAAGATCCCGAGAGGAGAATGGAGGAGAAGGAATTGTGGTGTGGCCATCCCCCCTGGGGGTGATTTCCTGCTTTCTGTCTGTCTTTCTGGCAAGTGCATGCGCCCTATACCAAAAAGAAAAAAACCTCTCCAAAAAACAGTAAATAAATAAACAAGAAGATTTTAAAAAGTAAAAACATAAAGCAGATATAGGTGATGACCATCTCTGTCATATCTCTAAGTGAAGCACCCCAGGGAAACCCTCCGTGACCCAGAAGGCGGACAGCGTGCTCCGGGGCACGCTCTGCCAGTGGGGACCCCAACAGCGTGTCACCATAGGCGCCTTCCCTACCCACAGAATGCATTGCTGGGCCCTTCTTTTAACTCTGTACTTAACGACAGGCTTAGCAAATTTCTAAGAAAGCCTAGGATTTCTATTGGCTCCACTCGACTTAATAGAACACCGGGAAACTCTGGAGACTGAGTTACAAATGCACTTACCTGAACTTTCCATAATTCTTCACAGAAGGTGAGCCGGGAGAGCTTGCCGTGTGCCAGTAAGTGCTTGGCAATTTCCAACAGGGAGGACAGTTTCTCCTGAAAAGAGACGAAATCGTTTCGAAATGGGCAAATCACCTTCAACAACATTAAAGAAACACCCCATTTTTCCAAACACGGAAAGGCAACGCTTAGCACACGCGCTTCCCCGTTGCAGCTGGGGTCTTACTCTCTGCTCGGAGTCCAGCAGCACAGGGCGTGTGGGCCCCTCCGGGGCTGCACAGGTCTGCTCCAGGCTGGAGGCAACCACCCTCGCCGACAGGGTTCCCACAGGAACCCTCAGCTGCCAGGCCTGATCCTGCAACGCAGAGCCTTAAAGAGAAACAAACCAAAGTTCTGTCTTAAAACACGGAACAGGGCCGGCAGACGGCATGGTAGTTAATCACCAGACTCCCACTTGGCCAACCGCAGTTTGAGTCCCCGACCAGGCGGCTTGCTTTCTCCCTTTCCCTATCCCTGCTGAGTGCACATTCTCTATGGCAAACTAAAAACTAATAATACTATTAAGGAAATAACTAAAGAAAAGCCTGGAATGAAACTTAAAACAGAAGACCGAGTTTCAAATGCTTTCTGTGGTAGCAACACAGAGAACTGCCTGCTATCGGGAGAAGAGCCGGGAAGGGCAGCAGCACGAGATTGCCGCGAGGCGTCGGCACCATCGGGAGCATTACACATGCGTGCCACACGCTACGTTCCCTGTGACACGGCCAGGCTGGCGGCTACACTCCAACCAAGGACTTCCTTTTTGTTGTTTTTAAAGAGTTATTTTATTTAACTTTATTTATTTACTTATTTTTAATTTGACCAGAGAGGGACAGAGTGAGAGAGAGGGAAAGGGAGAAAGCCAACCACCAGGTCCAGGACTCAAACCGCAGTCGGCCATGTGGGAGTCCAATGTCTTTAACCACCAGGCCTCCTGCTGGCCCCAGGAAGCAAGTCGCCAGGTCCAGCCATGTGGGAGTCCGGCACCCTTAACTACCACCCCAGCCACCAAGGAAACAATGTTTTCCCAAAAGAACACCGTAAAGGGCTCGGCGGGCTCTTCTGCTCTTCTACAACTTCAGCACCAGAGACAGGCCTGCTCCCACAGCCCACTGGGAAACGTAGGTCAGACTCGGCCAGGCCCCACCGCGCCCCACTGCGCCCCGTCCTCAGGGCTGCTGGTGGCCCGCACAGCCCTCACAGGCCCCCGAGGGCCCGCCTCTGGCAGGGAGAAACAAGGAACAGGCGGGTGGGGACTGCCCACGCGGCCTCCCAGTTCATTTGACTCCCAAAATGGATTTTCTAAAACAGAACAGAAAAGTGTAGCACGAAAGGTAAGGCAAGGTACAGAAACCTGTCCCTGCGAGGCTCTGAGAGCACCGACCGGCGCGTGAGCGAGTACACCCGGGACAGCTACCCAGTAGCCGCCTTCTGCCACGCACGGGAAGGCAGGAGTGCGCCCCAGCCGTTTGCTCCCCACTCGCCTCCACGGCACGTTCATGTGCGAGGTTTTACCTCCTTTATGTAAATGTTAGGTCTAACAGCCCTCTCCTTGGAGGGGAAACAAAGTACCCATGAATCAAGGGTCTGTCTGTAGGTCTGTGGCCAAGGTTAGCTTAAGTTCTTACACCGTGACCCCAAGTCCACACAAGGAAGTATGTGCCCAGTTCAACTTTAAAAAAATACACGAGACCAGCAGTTACGTAATGGCTATGTCGCTGGACTCTCATGTAGTCGACCACGGTTCGCGTCCCGGACCCGGTGGCTTAAACCCACGCCGGGCGCGTGTGCATGTGTGCCCAAGATCCCGAGAGGAGAATGGAGAAGGGATTGCGGCGTGGCAATCACCCCTTGGGGGTGATTTCTCACTTTCTATCCCTCCGTCTCTCTGTCTGGCTGGCAAGCGCACACGCCCTATAGCAAATAAATAAAAAAGTAAAATTAGGGCTGGCAGGTGGCACTGTGGTTAAGGCGGCTGGACTCCCACACGGCTGACCGTGGTTGGAGTCCCGGACCTGGCAGCTTGCTTTCTCACTTTCCTTCTGTCTTTCTCTGGTCAACTTCAAAAAATAAATAAATAAATAAAATGACAACGAATAAAAATAATTCTTTAAAAAAAGGTTTTTATTCTATGCACATGGTCGTGCGCCCAGAATAATGGAAGGCCATGACACAGTGTGCGCTTTGAGCACGGCTGCAGCCATGCCATGGCCACGTCCGCACAACGTAGGGCTCTTAGGGCGGTCACCATCTGAGCAGAGGTTTAACACGAAGCCATGGACTACTCCCCCTCCTCCTGAGACGGCAGCCCTATGTAATAGACACGTGAGGCCAGAAGATTACGTCTTGTTCCTCACCGGCCCGTCCTGTCTCACACCCTGGGACCGTCTGCCACCCCCTCCCGGCACGGCCTGTCCCCACTGTCGCCAGCCTGCAGGTCTGCACTGCCATCCCACGTTTCCGAGGGACACTGTTCCTACTACGGAGCCCCATGCTGAGTCAAACGCTTTATTTTGTTTCAGTTTGTCTTTAGTTTGCTACAGGGCAAACGTGCTCACTGGAAGGAGGGAGAGAGACGGAAAAGTGAGGAGGTGCTCCCCAGGCCACGCCGCAATCCCTTCTCCCCCGTCCTGTCGGGATTTGGGCACACACAGGCACACACCCAGCGTGGGTCTCCCCCGTCCTGTTGGGATTGTGGGCACACACATGCACACACCCAGCGTGGTTTTCAAACCACCAGGTCTGAGATTCGAACGGCGCAGTCGCCCACATGCGACAGCCACCTTAACCCCCATGTCGCCAGCTGGCCCCAACACTGGTTTTACACATAGCCTCATAATAAGCTCAAAGCAAGGCGCACAGACATCTAAGATCCACAGCTAAATACACGGAAACAGACGCCAAAACCTTGATTTAGAGTTCAGATTTCTTTCTCTCCAAGTTTGCTATGTAGTGCGTGTACTTGCCAGGAGAGCGAGCGAGAGAAGGACAGAGAGAAGTCCACCCTTCCACCACCCCCCGCACGCTCCGGAATGGCCACATGACAGTCTCTTCTCTTGGGATTTTTAAAAAATTTTGGGAACCAGCAGTTAGCGTAATGGCTATGTTGCTGGACTCCCACGTAGTCGACCACGGTTCTCATCCCGGACCCGGTGGCTTAAAACTCACGCCAGGCACATGTGCATGCGTGCCCAAAATCCCAAGAGGAGAATGGAGGAGAAGGGATTGCGGCGTGACCATCCCCCCGAGGGGTGATTTCTCACTTTCTGTCTCTCTGTCTCTCTCTGTCTGGCGAGCGCACGCACCCTATAGCAAAAACCTCTCCAAAAAAAATTTTTATTCATTCATTCATTTATTTTAATTTTATCAGAGAGAGAGAGAGAGGGAGGGAGGGAAGGAGAGAGAAAGTGAGAAAGCAAGCCACCAGGTCCAGGACTTGAACCATGATCAGGTATGTGGGAGTGTCCAGTGCCTTAACCACCATGCCACCTGCTGGTCCCTCCTCTTGGGATTTTTGGGGAGGCCTACACATATACCCCATGTGATTTTTTTTTTAATTTATTTTACTTTATTATTACTATTGTTTTCAACTTGCTACAGTCATCAGAGACAGAAAAAGAAAGAGGGAAAGTGAGAAAGCCAGCCACCAGGTCCAGTATTCAAACGGCAGACAGCCATGTGGGAATCCAGAGCCCCAACTACCATGTCACCCAACGGCCCGCCCCATGTGACTGTAAGCCACAACATTCGAGACTCGAAGCTCACAGTAGGCTGTGTGGGATCCGGCTGCCCTAAGCTCCACACCACCTGCTGGCCCCAAATTTCTACTCATAAGCCAACGTTCTTTTTTAAAGTTTAATTATTTTATTTTTTTAATTTGCTACAGGGCACGCGCATTCATGAGACAGACAGAGAGCAAAGGCGAGAAAGCAAGCCGCCAGATCCAGGACTTGAGCTGCAGTTGGCCACGTGGAGTCCAGCACCTGAACCACCACACCACCTGCTGGTGCCAATCATACTCATTTTTATAAAAAGTTCTCTGTAACTCGAGGTACTGAGAGGATGAGGCTGTAACTCACCTATCAGTGAACTGGAATGACCACTGTAGGCCTCAGGGCTGTCACAGTCAATCAGTTCACCAAGACACAGTTTTTTACGTGGCGGACCTTCGACCTAGAAACCAAAACAACTCCAGGTTTATTTCAGCTGTGCCTGGGGACCAGCAAATGCTGTCATGTTTGCGTCACTGGACTCCCATGTAATCAACTGCAGTTCAAGTCCTGGACCCAGCAGCTTAAAACTCACACTGGGCATATGTGCACGCATGTCTGAAATCCCAAGAGAGCAGAGGGACCAGCAGTTAGCGTAATGGCTATGTGGCTGGACTCCCATGTAGTTGACCGCGGCTCGAGTCCCGGACCCAGTGGCTTAAAATTCGCACCGGGCGCGTGTGCGTGCGTGCCCAAGATTCCGAGAGGAGAATGGAGGAGAAGGGATTGCGGTGTGGCCATCCCCCCTGGGGGGTGATTTCTCGCTTTCTAACTCTCTCTCTCTGTCTGTCTGGCGAATGCACGTGCCCTATGGCAAAAACCTCTCCAAAAAAAAAAAAAAAAAAAAAGAGAAGAGCAGAGAAGGGATTGGAGTGTGTGCCATCACCCCTGGAGGATGATCTCTTGCTTTCTGTCTCTCTACACACCCTATAGCAAAAAATCTCCCTTAAAAAAAAAAAAAAAAAAAGAATCCTTATTAAATTTACTTTTCAACTTCTGTCTTCAAAGAGATAAAGCCCCCAATTTATTCTCCTCTCATCCCATCCACATTTAATGTGGTTGCTTCTACCCAGGTGTCTTTTTTTTAAGAATTCTTTGGGGCTAGCAGGTGGCATGGCGGTTAAGGCGCTGGACTCTCACATGGCCAACCACAGTTCAAGTCTCGAACCTTTCTCTGTCTCTGGTGAGCACATAAGCCCTATAGCAAATTTAAAATAATAAATAAAATTTCATTCTATTTATATTATTTAATTTGCTGTAGGGCTTGTGCGCTTACCAGAGACAGAAAGCAAGCAACCAAATGCCAGGTCCAGGACTCAAACCACAGTCAACCACGCGGGATCCAGCACCTCACCCACGACCTGCCACCCGCCTCCTGTCTTCTTGCGAAGGCTAGGCCTCAGCTGTGTTGCAAATGGCCAACCCATTTCATCTCACCTGGAGCAGAAGGTCACTCAGGCTCAGGTGGCGTCTCAGGAGGCGCACAGCTGCTTCCTTCAACTTCTGTTCCCTTTCAGGGTCATGTTTTTGTTTCTTGACCCTCCCAGCTGAGGAAAAATAAGTTCCAAAAAATGCAGCTTATACAAGACACAGTGACATCTGTACCCCGTGTGATTATACTGAAAATGCATTCTCTCAATCTAAGCTTGAAAATACACCAAACCCAATCAAGAGATATTCCGTTTAAAAAAAAAAAAAGTCCGTACTCCTCAAAAGTGTCGAGGTCTTTGGGGCAGCAGGTGGCATGGTGTGGAGGTGCTGGAATTCCACAGGGCCGACCACAGTTCGAGTCTACGACCTGGCAGTTAGCTTTCTCACTTTTCCTCTCTCTGTGGTCAAATAAAAAAGTGATAATACAAGTAAATAAAAATAATTGTTTTAAGCGCTGAGGCCTTGAAAAACAAGGGGAGAAAAGAGTGCTGTCCCGCATGAGAAACTAAGACAGGAGTAAATGCAACCTGGGATCCCAAAACCAGACCGGCGGAAAAAATCTGAATAGTCTGTGACCCAGTTAACAGTTTATGGAGGGCTAATTCCTCAGGTTGGATTCTTTTCTTTTTTTTCCTCTTTTTGGAGAGGTTTTTGCTATAGGGCACATGCACTCGCCAGACAGAGAGAGACAGACAGACAGAAAGCGAGAAATCACCCCCCAGGGGGGATGGTCACACCGCAATCCCTTCTCCTCCATTCTCCTCTCGGGATCTTGGGCA